AGGAATCGATTGCTGGCTACTTCTCTTACTAGCAATGTACCCCTCTCTTGTTTGGAGTGATAAAACTTAGCGATTGGTCCTGGTGCTGAATCGGATTTGTTGTACCATCCCCCTTAGTTATCAGCATTCTCACTCATGAATAGGTGATGCTGTTATAACGAAGTGAACTGCATACCAAACAAGATCATACATCTTCGAATTAGTCGAGGGACCCGGTATTCTTGCCCGATTGTTGGCCCGCTCTATGTTTAACTTGCTGGATCTTCGTGCATCGCTAGGTGTATTGACCCAGGGAAGTGCAATTGAATGAACGAGTCGTTGGTTTTATGGCACAAAGCGAGCCTGGTTTAATCTGGACTAATTTAAGTCTCAAATCGTTACTCGAGGGGCTCGTCAATAGCTGACCACGTCATTGAACGACGAGTGGCGCCATGTCCTGTCTGAATGAGAGCTAATCACACTGCTAGTCAGCCACTTGTGGTCAAACAGCTGATTAACCAACCACTGGTCAGAAGGTCACGGATTCGAAACCCTGATAGCATGAAATCTCTATTGAATGTTACCGGATCTCCTCACCTTACCATGAAATCCTATAAAGTAAAAATGTTTGGCATGTCCTTTTCCGTATGTGTCGTTATTTTGCACGCTAATTATATATTTTATTTCTGCTCCTCAGCGTAACAACTGTGAAACAAGTAAAAGGTCACAGAAACTTTTTACGCCATCGATCCTCAGCCAGCAGTGGTGGTGAGCTGGTCTTGATCAAGTCTCGATCGCGACATTCGAAACATTCCAAATCGAACACCGATGTACGTGATGGCATTCCAATATCTACTGTGTCCGGTCTAAGCCGACCACATTCGGAAGGTGAGAAGCTTTACCTCCCTCACTCTCATTGGTTTCCTGTACAGACTTGTGATTATGTGAGGCACGCAGAATGTTTAGGCTCAAACTAGACTATAGTCTATCAAGTTTAACTTTCGTTAACTTTAAGCCTCTCGTTACCCCACCATCGTTTCCTCTGTTCACTGCTTTCTTCCCTTCATTGTTCGTAAACCTGGTGGAGCGATACCCTCGTTTTGTGACTAATTTAATCGTGAAATCCGGTCTAATTAAACCTAATTCCAACTATTAGTGGTTTGCTTTACTATAGTCCTAGGTGATAACACATGTTCGCCTGACTTTCCTACTTCAAAAGTCACTGTCTACAAGTTTTCTATTCTATGTATACAACTTAGAACTCCGTTTGCTCGGTCTGCTAAACATACATGATCCGGAACTGGACCTAGCCGTCGGCCCGCGTCATCGTCACCATCACCAACTGTCGTATCAAAACGACGGTATTCATGTGATTGCCGCCAGTCCAAGTAGGCGGGGCTCTCCCCCGACATCACATCACACCGACTCAGAGTACCTCGCTCGATTGTCTACGTCAGGCAGTGTTCGGTGCCTTGATGACCGAGGTGTTGGAACATCTAGTACTTCCGGTACGCCACATTCCCAACGATCTCCAGCTGTACGCAAACAAGCTACGCGATCCAGCACATTTGGCTGCCTCGAATCATACAAGAAATTAGACGTGCTGGGTGAAGGTTCTTACGCCACCGTCTATCGGGGCTATTCACAGTGAGTCATGTTTGCATCAGGCAACACTTATCGGTTTTCCATTCTGGTATCCTTTTTTCTTTTGTTTGATTTGAAAACCGAGTGGTTGAGGCAAACGCTTGAGTTGGCACACCTAAATCCGAACCTAGCACCATTCTAAGAAAAAGGAACGCGCCATTTGTTTCTTAATTGTTCTTCAACAGTCTGGTGAATACTACAGCCTTCTTTTTGGGGATGCTATTTATCTGATCGGTCTCGATCAATTTGGTTTGTGGGTATTTATTTTCTCCCCAAATTGACCCGTTCTCCGGACCTTAGATGCTTTCGCATTATCCTTTGGTAGGTTTCATTTGTATACCTGTCTGTCTGTTGGCCTTCATTTATTATTCATGATCACATTCATGAGCTAGTTGAGCTATGTGAGGCAGTTCGCTGCCCTACTTTCCTTCTCCTGTCCATATCCTAATGCATTCATGTTTGCTCCCCTTTTCCCGTGTTACCTACCTAATGTTCGCCGATCGCGTGTCGATAGCTTCGTAGAAGTTAATTGAACACACGCTTGATGCTAAAAAAACATGCTCCTAGCATATCCTGTCCATGTGTGTTTTGGATTGCTTCAACTGCGTTTTACACAACCTCTCCAAATACAGACACGTGGCCCTTATTTTGACGTTACTAAACTCGAGAAAATCACAGTTCGAGGTGACTTAAAATGGCTTCGGATTTGCTTGGCGTGACTACCCTTCCATGATTAAAAAATCGTCCAGCTGTAGCACCATTTCGGTGCCTAGCTGCCAATGCCACCCGAATGAAGCACGAGAGCTGGGATACAATCAGGTTGCCCAAGCCTAGACAGGGGAAGTCGAGAGGCAGAGGTCGGATTCGAACCACGAACCGGTCAGTAGATTCGCGCTCTAACCACTTGAGAAAACAGGTGGATAACCAAATATCCCCTACCCCAGAAGGTTTGCCTGGGACGGACGACTCCCATAGATAGTTTCCGGCAACTCTTCCAATTGGGTAGCCAATTGAATGCTTTTGAACAGCTTTGTCGAGGTCTGTTCTGTTGAAATTCTTTACTTCGATCAAAATAAATGTCCCAGGTGTATGGTGGAGCTGCGCAAATGTAAGTTTGCTTATGAATCGACCGATTCTCATCAAAACATCATCGGTCCTCGTCGTGCCTACAAAAATGAATGCGAAAGATGTAAGAGTTTGGGCGCCGTGGGTGTAGATTGTTCATAAGATCGCTGAAAACTCTTCGACGGTAGAAGAATATCGTAAACGAGACGTTCGGTTGAGTTTCCCGTTAACATTCGGGTGACTTGGAAATTGGCGCACTTTACTGTTCCACTAGAGTACGAATTTGGTGAATATTCGGAGACCACTTACGTGATGAGCCCCAAGTTTTCGGCAACATGATGCGTAGTATTATTTCAAGAAAAAACACTTCAATGTTTCGAATATCTTGCCGACGGTGCAACACACTCAGTCGTGGAATATCGTAAACGAGGGATCCTGTTGAGTCTCTTCTCAGTATCATCGATTTGTTTGTCACCGTATATTTCGGTAATTCATTGATCATAAAAAGCTTGCGGAAATAACGAGTTTTATCGATTTCGCTTTCGCCTGTACAGTTGTCCTTTCTGGCGGGTAAGAATAAATGATCAGACGCAGCTAAATTGTTTGTTTTTATTGAAGTCGCCGGATAATCGGTTTGCAGAGACAGTGAGATCGCGCATTCATGATGATAGGTTTGATCTGCTGCCGAAGAACACTTTCATTATAGAACAAATATTTATTTTCGTCAAGAGGAGAACGCCAGTGCTTCCCTGTTGCACATCCATATTGAATTTTTCGAATAAAGCCTTATAATGGAGGTTGATGTAGGGATAGCCTACCACGAACATCCGAGGTGGTCACACCTCCAGCGCTCAGCCAGGCAATCTGAACAGAAACTGACATCGTGAGAGCCACCGGTACCGGATAGCCTCCAAGCACAGGTGAGGTCATGTTAACCCCATCCTGAAAAGTGAACAGCACCAACAATGCCCAAGCTTTTTTATCATACTCCTTTCTACTGTGTCTAATTCCGTCCAACTCCAGGTCTCTACCATTCCGAATTAGGCACGATAAAAGCGCTGCACTCCAGGTGCGTAACATATTGCCAACCCAACTTAGCTTACCGCACTGGGTACATTTTTTGAGTTGAGTACTTGCTGTTCCACCAAAGACTTGTTTCCTGATCACCAGGCTCCCTGGTAATTTTTCGAACAGTGTGTCGAAATATTGGTAGTTCGGATGCGTTTACTTGTGGTTCATCCGATGTTCGTTGGTCTATTCACCAAGCTTGGTTATTGGTCCGCAGATGACGCGTTTGCAAACCAATTGCCATGCTCGGTGCCCAAGTCAATGGCCATCTGATCAACCACCAGATCTTTCGAGCATTCCTGTGCGTCCCTATGTACGGTCACTAAGGATATGGCTTTATCGGAGTGCATGCTTTCTCTTTCGGCTTAGTCTAAACCTTAACCCTTGACGTGCGACCCGTCATGAGTTTATTTTTTTTTGACTTTGTGACACAGCAACGAGCATCGTGAAACCACCTTGTTGGGAGAACCAAAGCAGTTTTTTTACTTGATTGTCCGACTATTCCATCCACACGTCACCTTCTATCTGTACCACTGCATTCACATCCGTTTGACTGTGACATTCATTAGTTGTATTTCCGGTTGCACGCGCTACATATGGCGACACATCACTTCCTCTCTCGCGTCATTGCCTAAACTGATGAAATGTGTCCGGCCTGCTTCGATGATAAATTATTTTGCTAGTCTCTCGGAAATCCCAGTTTTCACACACTTCCTGTCCGGATGAATGTACATATAGTTTGTTCTCGTTCTCTTTGGGCTTTGTCGGGGACGGAATTTACAGATGACAGTGTATTACTTCGTGCTGCGCCTCGTTTTATGCGTTACACCCTTCCAGCGGCTCGTAAAGTTGAATTCATTATGTCTATTGAAGTGGTAGTAATTTCTCCTAACAAAAAAACATAGACCTCTTACAGCCCATGATCGATTTCACCCTTCTTGGGGTTCATCAGATGGGCGTATTCTGTGAGTTCCCGTCAATTTTATATTCTATTTGAACCAAATTGTACAAACCTTGCGAAATGCACCCATTTACAGGCCAGTTTGGTTTTGACGGGAGAGTCGAGAAATTCTTCAGCTGAACCTCTTGGTCGTAATGTTCATCTCGTTTGTGGACGGGTGGTTCGGCTGAATTCTCTCGTTAAAAACAAAACAGTCGGTCATATTGACAAACTTGGTACAATAAAATCATTCCATTTGACCTCTTTTGGTCAACTCCTTCATGTTCTTCCTGTGATCCTACAGAATGAGTTTCCACCTTTCCGATATCATCAACGAAGATCAGCCACACTATTTCCTCTCAACTCAAAAGGTAAACGTATATACACCCTTATTTTCACGCAAGCGTACGTCTGAAACACTATACTGCGTCCACCTCTCTGGAGCGTTTGTTTCCTACCGTACCCGGCAGTGACCTTCTCAGATGAGTTTTGCTCTACTATAGTTGACCGTCCATTCTGTTTTGCATCCATTTGCTTCTGGTCCACGATTTTAATTACTTAATTTTCCTTCTGCCTCTTCCTCCTCCCACTTTCCGCCCCCTAGCGTCATGTGTCGATCTGTTGCAGTCAAAGAAATTCGCATCAACCCAGAGGAAGGTCTTCCATTCACTGCCATTCGTGAAGGTGAGCATTAATGCTGGCTCGCTCCAGCCTTCTCACATTTATGAGCTGCTTGCTGTTCTAATGAAGAAAACCACTGGAAGGCCTCCGTCTTTACAGTGACGTCCAGTTTTTGTGTATGCCGGCGCTGTAGTTGATGATGGTCAATGTAAGAAAACCGGAGAGCTGCTACCCTTCCACCACCAGTGCTTTCGATCCTAGTGGCCTGCACTCGAAAACCCAAGAGGGTATCTACAAAGCCGATTGACTCCCGTGTTTATAGTCTCAGGTGCTCTCTTACCAAACTGGAGTCAATAGTCAGACTTTTCGCAATCAGGTATTAACATATAGCCGCAAATAAAAAAATGAGCTCTTGTGTTTCTTGATATCTGGATCGATTAAGTTTGTTCAAGTGTACTAGTTCACCATTGAAAAATAATTGTGGGACGACAGCATGGTTTGGCCACTTTGTGCAAGGGTGCTAAGTTCGGTTCACTGGTACGTAACTCATCAGCATACTGTCGCTGAAGCATGTTCCCAGTGCAGGATCACAACAGCATGTAGACACTAAATAAGCTGTTGAGCAAGCGACGAGGATGCTCTGCGCTTTTTCACACAGGCCAGTATATGAGCTAAATGACATGATGCATAAAAACAGTTGACAGACGTAGGTATAGATTGATGTGCGCCTTGGAGTTTCCACAGTTATTTTTGCTATATTTCTTTGTTGTTTGTCCCTAACGACCGGTAATAAACGCGTAGTGAAAAGGCGTCAACACGAATCTATGGATATCCTCCATTTATCAGGTTCGGTAGGCATGTGCGGCGGACGCTAGTCCCCAGGTTTCCATTCACAACCAAACTATCGTGGGTTCGCTGTTTTATGAGATGTCATCGAAATGGTTATGCCATACCATTTTTCATCTCATTCATCTTGTCTACCTCGATAGCATGCATAAAAGCATGCTTTGTTGCGCAGCCCAATCTTCCTATTAGTACAAAACTTGGACCATGGCTTTGTAAGGATCGTAAAAAATTGTTCAGCTGTAGCACACTTTTGGTGCCTAGCTGCTATGCCATCCGAAGGAAGCACGAGGGCTGGGTACTGCCAGGTTGCCCAAGCCTCGACAGGGGAAGTCGACAGGCAGAGGGCGATTCGAACCACGGACGTGCTGGTCAGTAAATTCGCGCCCTGACCATTTGGTCTATCTCGCCCCCTAAGGATATGCTGAGTTCTTTCTTCAGTATATTAACATGAATGGTTTGTTTATGTCTAGCCGGTTTTCTGGATTCCCAATCAGAGCTTCAGGCTGTAAATTCGCGCCCTGACCATTTGGTCTATCTCGCCCCCTAAGGATATGCTGAGTTCTTTCTTCAGTATATTAACATGAATGGTTTGTTTATGTCTAGCCGGTTTTCTGGATTCCCAATCAGACGCTTCAGGCTTCCAGTGCAGTCTCTATCACAGTTGCCTGTCTACCAACGACGGATTGCCAGTCATCGTTATTCTGTAGTTCCGCTGACTTCGAACTCTCACGCCATTCCAACATAATAAGCATGTCCTACGATTTTTTTCCGAAATTTACTTCTGCTTATCCATTTTGTTCAGCGCTTCATTTGGATTAATTTTCTCAGTCCGTCATGTTCCTCATCATGATGCAAACTCCCGCTTACTAGAAATTGTGGTTCCCGTCTAACCACCTTATTACACCACATATGATACTGACAAGACTATGCCCTCTACAATGAGTTGTTCTTTTGCTCACTGGGCTTCGAAAGACATTGCGAACACATCTTTGATATAGGTACATCTTCCTCGCATCTTCCTCCTTGCATCTTCCTCGCGGTAGTCGTGGACTTAAAAAGTTCCGTCTGATCTGTTGATCCGTAAGTAAACGTGACAGTCTTTTATTCGAACGCCTAACACGCGGTTTACACATTAAATTTTAGTCCAACATTTCGCCGGTGCAACTCATCACGTCTTAATTGTCGGAACAAATGTACACAATCCAAGACAAACAGCGAACAGCTGTTTTCAGGGTATCGTAGGTGGTGAGTTGATCCAGGGTTATACGGACTCGTATGCATAAAGCGTTCACAACTGTTGTCTTCCTGTTAGCTCCCACTGGAAAAAACCTCTGAAATAAGATGATTATTCCACCCAGAAAAGTTCAGTAAGTGAATGAGGTATGACAACTCTGGTATAATCTCTCTGACATGACACTTCACCTCTTTTTTTCTACCGATGACAACTCTCCGTGAACTGATCAATTTTAAGTGAAAATCATTGTATTGGATGTAACTGGACAAGCCTTAGCTTTCGGTGTTTCGACCCCGGGATGCTGCAAGGCGCACTTATGATTCTTCGATGACAATTGTGACAGCTGAGGGGGGCTGTTTTAAGCCTAGCACTTTGTATATAGCACGATCGGGGATGTAGCACATCAATCAAACAAACAAAACAAAGTGAAATGTCACTTGTCCCACTCTTTCTGCATGCTGAGTGCCTGGTGTTGAAAATGTTTTACATTCGTTTAAGATGTATGAAAGCAACGAACCAGGCGCTGATTGATGTTGATGGATGAATGGGCAACAAAAACGTCATATTGTCACCGAAATTCTACTTGTAACTTTGTCATGTTTGACTTGTGTAGTTTTCCACATCTTTTCGGATCAACTTTGATTTTCCACAGTTCCCTTCCTTCTCTATTCAGGTTCTTCCCTTCCCTCTTCCTATTGCCCGGCATCTTGAAGTTTGCAATTGTGCACCAGAGATCGATTGATTTTCTGGTTTGTCAGTAATTAGGTGAATGGTAATGCACACTCCCGGTCGGTGGCCTGGGGCACTGGGAGGTATAATCAATGTGTAGATGGTGCCGGTGCGCAGAAGGCGCCATTACGGTTGAATCGATGGTAATTATGGGATGAACTTGGTGTGAACCCTGTTGTCGACCAAAAGTTGGCCGGTTTGGTGACGCGGGATGTACGGGAACTAAATAATCGTGTGAATTTTCCCTTCAGTTGAACATTTATCAGAAACCAAAGCAACTCTGGTGATAGTTTTTGTCCTGAATTGATTATGGGTTTGCGCCTAAGATTCGAGGTCACGTGATCTTTGTTTTCCCAGACCGATCCGAGATAATTGAAAATGTGGATCAGTGCAATGATGATCGGTTCACACGGAATGGTGCACAATACCGAGATTCTTACCTATACTTTACAGTCACAACATATATGAGTGAAACGAGAGGAAAAACCGAGGTGAAATTTGTTGAGTGGCTTTTCGGATGATGACATATAATCCAAAACATTGGCACTCAGCAAGCCCAGCCCCCTGGAATGTGATGGTCACGGTTTGGAGCGATATGATCGTGCCTGTTTTAGCAGTCCCTTATAGTAGCGGAATATGGGTCTCACCTGGCTTAACTCTCATTCATATTCGGATTGAAGAGGCGCGTATACGAGATGACAGCTCGAGCTATGTGCTCTCCTATGCAGTCTCAATTACGGTAATTTCGACAAATATGTCCTAGAGAAGATAAAGTGGGCTTAAGAGTGGAAATACGTGTGTTTCGCGAAGTACCCTTTGTTGTTGGCCTAATATCGATCGATGGTTCTGTGCTGCAAGAATCGTGGCATGAATTCACGTCTCGATACGATTTATCTGGAAAAAACTATACCGACCGTGAGTTGTGTGGATTTTGCAGAAATGAATATTATTTCTGGTCAGCATGGTAATCTTTCGAGGATCCTGTAGATGAAAGAGAGTCATGATTGTTCGCGCAGTTAAAGTTATACCTTCATTCAAACATAACATGAATTTGCTCCGGTTCACTTCACCCCTGATCGTAGTTGTCGTTGTTGCCACCAATCAGTGGGCTTTTGTTCCCAACCGGTTCTCTAGCAATCTACTGATTTACTCTTAACTAGAGACACCGATGTATTTCATTCAGCCGCTTCTACCGAGCCGATGTCGGGTTTTATTCAGCTTGCCAAACTGTGCACGATAATCTAACATTAGGATTTTCTCGTGCCCCGTTTTGCGCTTTTCACAGCATGCCATTGTCATACAAACCGCTGATATTGAAAGCCACTATCGGTTTCATTGATGATGGTACTGGAGAGAGTCATTCTTCATGACTCTGACATTGTACCCGTTAGTTCACAACGCGCTGCTTGCTGAGGTCAGCGTACTGACGCTGATTGTAGCACTAATTTATTTGTTGAATTCGAACCGCGGATACTAATATTTGAGCGTGATTAGGCGTGAAACCATTGTGTGCGGTTAATTGTTGAACCATGTATTGATTGATTGAGGTCGGTTCAGTTGACTCGACAGTTTAGAGCGCGTATCTACATAGAAATGCCTTTGATTTCTCAATGTTGGTTGGCCTGCAGTGGCAGAATAAACACCTTTCCTGAGCCATCGTTATCATTCAGCGATGGTGTCATTAAGTATCAAAGGTCCGTCTCTGAGTCCCAAATGCAACCCCCCATCAGCGATCCATTGGTCAAGTTCCATACCTCACAATAGAATTTGGTCTGCTAGGTCCTCTACTGTTATTGTGAGTATTTTGAAACCTGACAGCTCAAATATGCGATTGAGCCAGCCAATGTGTTCAGTGCACCTGCCACCCTCAGTCAGTTTGATTAGGTCAGTGGGTTCTGACCGTCTTTCGGTGATCCGCGTAAATGGTATCTTTCGAGTCATAGCTGGAACAAATCCACTACAATCCAAACATCAATTTACTGGTTCTTCGCGCCCCTAAACTCTGATCTCAATGGGATTAGATGGCCTTTATTTCCCAGTTGCATAAAAACCAACATTACATTGGAGGAATCATGCTGTAAAATGTTTTGCGCCGGTCTGTGAATACGGTATTTTGGAATTTTTCCCCCCACATAATTTTGCTTACTTTATTTTACGGTCACTACTTCCTCTATGATTTCTCCACAGCCTCCCTTCTCAAGGCACTGCGTCATGCGAACATTGTCATTTTGCACGATATCGTCCACACCAAGAATACGCTTAATTTCATCTTCGAATTTGTCGTAAGTGTTATATTTCGGTCTTTTTATTTTTATTTTGGCTTCCCAACTAACTCTGTACGCAGCTTTTGTATATGATGGAAGGTTAATTGCTTGTTTTATCAGGTTCGAGTGATGAGCCAAAGCGTGCGTAAGAATTCATTTTCTTGTACCTATCAAAAACTGGGAAGTGTCCTTCTGTCATACAGTTGGAGCCCATACCTTCTGTTCTGGTTTATCCTCCGTGTCGACGACTTCATAGTTTTTGAAGGTAGCCTTCATGTGTTTGTGATGGTGGACCGCACAAATTACTCTCTCCAACGGCCCCCAAGAGTGTGTGTGTGTGTGACCTACGCATCCCTAGACATTTCGTGCAAGTCATTGATGTTTCCAATCAATCTGTTTCTCGTGTCTGATTTATTCAAAGTCCCGCCCATCCATATTTTACAAGTTCACTAGTATGACCGTGAATCTCGCTCCATGGCTGAGTTATTTTCACTTTAGAACCATTCCTTCTGTATATGTACCTTCCCTATTACGACCATATTCGCTTGTTTTTCTCGAAGTTGCTGTAGAAAGACAGTGCTGGAGTTAGAAATTCTACCGGCTCCTTCTCAAAGTAACCCTTGTCAGTCCATTCGTGGTCGGTGTTTCCGTATTGACTTGACATTGTTTCTGGATTCCCGGGTATCATGTTGTCCGGTGGATACGTCCGGCGACTTGGTTTGCCTCTGGCTGCTTCCTCAAAGGTGCTTCAGACAAAATTTTCTTTACCGGTGACTGCTTTGATTCCAAAGCAGATTACCTTGTGCACTGCGAATATATTACGACATATTATCGGCTAGACAAAGTCCGCCGATAGTCAGAAGCTCTTTCCTTGATTTCTGAGCCAGGCGATTCTATTAGCGAAGAAAGTGTGAATTCTGTCGACTGTGCAACTCCGATCTCCGTGTCGTATATTTTGTTGAGCGTCGTGACAAACGTTTTGCGTGACTTGTAGGAAACCTCGGACCGGGCACACTAAACCGATGCAGAAATGTGGCATGTTTTTACCTATTGGTTCATGCTTATTTGTTGTAGATGCCCGTCATATTCAATTCGATAACAGGAATAAGTTCGAGCGAGTGCATCATGTAGATCACTGAGCCGGAACAGTGGTTAAAGCCATACACAGATCAATGGATTCGAATGGGAAGACTACATTAGGGAACTACAAGGCAGTTGAGAAATATTCTCGCTTCCTGCTTCTAAATCCTGCACTCTCGCGGAGTTCCTCCAATAACATGTATCCTGTCTTCTTCATCTGCAATTGCCACCTCGAATGAGGTTATTCCATTTATGGGCGACTCCACACCCTCTTTCGCGGCTTTGACAACCATACAACACACCGCTTTCAAGTGACTGTCTCTTGAATCAGAATGAGCAGACTTCATAAATGTCCCGGATAGCAACTATCCAGGAGCGCCTGCCTGATCTGCATAAATTACTACCCAACGTTGGTTCCACTGACGGCGTCTGTAGACCAGTTGGAGATCAGGTTGCTTCACATCGTCTTCGGCCTTGATTACCCTAGGTGACAGTGCCATCCTTGATACGGTATGGGTATCCCACCTCCACAAATCATTTGCGAGGGAAACTGTGGCAGCTATAACCACCGTCCGACAAGTACGCGTTTCTTACAGCTGGTGATGATTGGTACAAAGTTCGTTTGTAACTTTCAGAATCCAGTGTGCCTATGAAGCATAGACCTATCGAGCAGAGAATATCCGGAACCTAGAATTTTTGATCCTTTGAGAACTACCGAAAGTTCGGCACCTGGAGAAAGCCCAAACAATGCGATTCGGGAACTCTTTATAATGACCTTCCATACTCTTCTCAGTTTTTTCACTGACTATGTCTACAATGGTTTAGGCGTTCACCCTCACATACTGCTACTGGCCAGTGGATCACATGCTCAGAATGCGACAAGATATCACTCACCTTACGCCACCCTTATGTTGATTGATTTTCTGTTACTACACAAGAGCTCTCAGGGCTTACTCATTTCTGTAGTTGTTCTTTATAATAGAGCTCGAACAAAAGTTAAAAGTGCCAAGATTAACGCAGGGCATTATTCTGACAACACCTTCACTTCATTCGCAGCGGTTTCTTTAGATATAACAGTAGGTTTGTTTGCCTTTGAAAAGACCAATTCAAGGATTCGATCAAAATGACCACTGCAAAAAACGCGTTTAAAGTTATATCCCCTAAAACTTGCCTCTTAGATTTCTGTTCCTACTCCAGTTATTTTCTATACTCGGACCAAGAGATCGATATCTCTGAGCCGTTTTCCTTCTGAGATCCGGCCACATGGTAATAGGTGTAAAATCAGCGCGAATAATTGTGACCCGCACGAAGGGCGGTTTACTGTGCGTAGAGTTTGATCGATTTAGTTCTAGCTAAGGCTACCGTGTGCTCTTTTTCTCATTCTAAATTATACCAACATGCACTTTTTTCCCTTGTCCAGCAATCCGACTTGAGCAAATACATCGAGAATCACCCCCAGGGAATTCGACTGCACAATGTTCGCGTGAGTCCTCCCATAATATTTTGTTTGGTTATTTCTTAAGATGTTGTATCCTGGCAATTCGTTTCTCGTTATTATCGTCCCGGCATCTACATCAATTAGGGTTGGTCACCCAAATGTGTTCAGATTTTTCCATGGGGACACGTTGATGAGTTGATGCAACCGAAATCATTTGTGTGCAGAATTTGTCTAGAAAATGTTCACCAATGCGTTTGATTATTATTGTTAACTGTAGATGTGTCTAATATCTACTAAAATCTTATCACCTCAATGCGACAGGCAGTAGGCGACAGTAAAAGGAGAATCTGCAACAAACTTCCCGGTAAGAGGCACTCATACAGAAAATAATCATCCATCACTGTCACGTTCCAATTATTAGTATAAAGTGATTTTTCTGCATTTCTGAAAGAAATGTTTACAGGTGATCAGGCGGGCAGACGCTTTGTAGGCGCTCATAGGGCATAGAATACGGGTCATTGAAAGGTTGGTCCACGTCATCTACTTGGCCTCCGAAGCTTAATCCTTGTTGTCATCCCATGTCAAAATAAGAACGTTCTACTAAAACAACAACTTGAAATCCTCGCGTTCCTTTGAAGTAGAATGACTACCAGCACACACTCAATACACTGAATGTTAGGCATTTCCTCAGATGGTTCATGTGTTTCAGTTGCTTCTGCTTTCGCTTGTTCATGCCACAAGTCTTCATCATCGTATGAAAACGGACTAAGTGTAACACTTCCGTTTGACCAGCACCACAGTAGCTAGAGAGTCTATTAGTCACTTTTCATGGTGAATGAATCCATACTCATTTACCACCCATTAGACTTGGATTCGCATCTTGGTCGATCGGTTGCTGAGTAGCATTCTAGAAGAGGAATGCTTTGCACTCAGTATTGGTGCATTTAAAGGATCACCTCCCAGTTGATAGGACTGTGTCCACAAAATAAAATGTGGCGACTGCACGAAGATTTATATAGGTCGGACAGCTGGGAAATTGCACACCAGAACCGGTGAACACACGCGATGCATCAACAGACCACCGAGAAACGTACATGAATTCCAGGCGATAGTCAAGGACTCAACAATGGTAGGGCATTCGCTGGGCACAAAATAGGTTTGGAAAATGTGGGTATTTTGACACGGAGACTCAGATTCGTGCTACAGCAACTGGTGGCCGAGTCCAGTGGAAATCGCCAAGCGTGAATAGAATAGAGGGCGTAGAACTGGCAAGCGTGTGAAGGGCGATTTTCGACCAACCGAGATGACACGAGGTGGTGTGCAGTTATCAGTGAAATGGTTCGGGTTTAAAAGTATGAAATCCAACCAGAGTAACATTCACTTAAACACCACCCCTAACCCAATTGTCCTGGCACCCCCCAACGCACGTAGATCAACAAAATCTGTGAACGATACCCATAAGGAATATTCCATTAAATTGTCCTAGACCGGAAATCGGAGACGCAAAATCCTGACTCAACTTGATAATAAACTCCCGTAACCAATCATTCGTAAGTGTTAGACATCCCTACTAACCAACAAACAGGAACCTTAGACCGACACCCAACGGTGATCAAGTCGGTCAGTCACAAAATATTCCACGGATTGATTATCTGACCTCCTTGAAACCCGATCAGCGTGAAGCTTTAATGTCAAAGCGAAACGTTGCCCAGCAATAAATCCACCGATTGTTTATTAAATCTCTCTGAAATAATGACTACTTAATCGGTCCCAAACATCCTCCAGTTGATTGAAAATAACTGTTGACTTATTCATAGAATCTACAGGTGAGCAGCCCGATTGGTCCGTCAGAATCGTCATCGATCTTCGCAGCAGACATGATGTATAACAGGTTATGGGTAGGACGTTCACACCAAACATGTGGTTGGTTCCCGGAAAATTCATTCTACATATATATTTTCGCTTCTACTGGGACTTATTGGGGTGGTTAGGAATCCTAGTATGACCATTGGGCTTAGAAATCGACACTGGGCTTAGCTAAGTCTGTTATTAAAAGCTGCAGCGACCTCCCTAAAGAGAAGCTCGTTCCTCGAAAAACCATCACATTGTCTTCATCTACAACCCAGGACCGGTTTCGCCCGTCTTGCGGAGGCTCAGTGGTTACAGCGCGAATTTACTGGCCAGGAAGTCCGTGGTTCGAACCCGACTTCTGCATCTCGACTTCCCCTGTCTAGGCTTGGGGAACCTTTCAGTATCTCAGCCCTTGTGCTTCCTTCGGGTGGCATAGCAGTTAGGCACCGAAGGGATACTGAACGACGATCATTAGATAGGCGCGTGTTTTTAGTGAATGAAGCCAAGCACATGATATCTACACTTTTGAAATTTATTAAAATGGAAACGACATATGGGAGCAACGCACCATCAGCGGAATTGACTCAACGTCCTTTGCTAACCTCACCCAAAATAATCTCAGTGTGTGACGGTACACAAGCGTTAGCCAAGCATTCTGGCTAGGAAGTGGCAGCAAACCTCCAACTGGGATCGGTTACGTGCCACGTCCTCCTGGATCTCCAACCTGACCAAAACGGGATCGCACACTCAAGAAGATGTGAAGGTCTCAGTGCTCAACTTGAGATGAGTCGTTTTTGTTTCGTAGTGCTTTGTTATGGTCTGTCGTCCACCAACTTTCCGTCAACTCTACATGGGGATACATAGCGGACATTCCTCGCCAGATTTCTATAGCACTTATCTTCAGACGGGCTATTGTTCACCTTCCTAATGAGACCACAATCCCATTCCCTGAGGATATGTTTTGCCCACTCCCCAGAAAGGCTATTAATGACAAATACAAGGAAAGCCCACAACTTTCAACGGCCGTATCGCACTTTTTCAGCGATATGAATTGAGCATGTAAGGTAACGAGTACATGACCCTTAAGGCCGGTTACATCTAGGTGACTTGGTCCAATGACGGTCAGAAATCCAAAACCAGAAGAATATCGTCATTATTCGCTAAATATCGATTTGTATCCGACAGTATAGAACCAGTTTGGAGCTCAGTTCCCTCATTATAACACTACTTTGATGCTATTCAGCATATGTGATTTGCCACAGAAATTGTATGCACCATTAACTGGTTTCGTTTGGTGTTGATGTAGCGAATATTGCTGTACGGGCCTTTTTATGTTTAAGCGGTTGGTTAGTTCATCGTTGTTTGGCCTTTTCAAATAGGCTAAGGTATTCTCTGTGTCCATTCTGTACGAGGGGGCAAGATGGCTCAAGTAGTTAGAGCTCGAATTTACTGACAGGAAGGTCCGTGGTTCGAACCCGACCTCTGCAGCTCGACTTCCGCTGTCTAGGCCTGGGCAACCTGGCAGCATCCCAGCCCTGGTGCTTCCTTTGAGTGACATGGCAGCTAGGCACCGGAAGGGTGTTACAGCCGAACGATATATTTTGTTTTTGTTTTATTCTCTATAAGAGGATGCCAGGTTACTTATGATGCCGTTTTTGGGTGAGTGAGTAAGACTTATGTTGCCCACTACGGTATGGATTGTATGAGGCGGTAGCTGTTCTCAGAACGATTTTCAGTATAATTATACAAGATTTTAAATGGGTTCCCGTCGCTAACCGATGCCAATATTAAAAGGCTACTTCGCTTGTACTCAGATCAATGTGATGGCAAGGGAAAACTCTGTTGTATCAGTTTTGGAAAAGGTAGTTTAACTAAGCGAAATGCACGAAGTACGTCAACAGGAACTAATCAGCTTATCAGGTAACCAAAATGCTCGCCTTGCAGTAACAGCCACAAGTTCAAGTTAAGATTGGGAGGAAAACCAGTATTAGTTGCATTATGTAGCTATTTGGGACAAACTCAAAAAAACCCTAAAGAATTCTTCAAAAGCAAACTGTTTGTGCAACTTTAAAAACTCGGCACCCTGATTTTCAACCAAAGGCTTCGCTTGGTTTTCACTTGCTTGGAATACTGTATACACCTTCCTAATGAACTCTTCGGCTGCTCGGGATTATTGCTGGGTAACCGGTTCTGAGATGTGGAGCAGCCAAACCGGGGCCACGTGACTGTTCCCTCTCACACTTACCTAGTGTCACTGTTTTTGGGGTGGCATTGACCACGTCTTTATTGCACCTCAAAGGAAGTCTATGAGAGTACCAGATTCATGCTATGGAAAAACAAATCTGTTTATTTGACGCTCGATCAAATCCAGTTGAGTGCTGTACTGATCTTGCTTTTTAGGTTCGATATAGATAGATTAACTTTGAACACGACGAACGTAAACGGTCAATTGGGCGTCAGGAATGATTACCCTCATAAATAATGTACATATTTGGTAGCGCCAGGATTAGCTTTTCAGTGCTTTCAAATTTCCCCGTCGCCACCTGGTACTATCACTCTCTGCAGTAAAATGGCGCAGCTTTTTGACTATGTTCGGGGTCCGTGCCCGTTTAATAATTGAGTTGGCCAACTCAATCAGCCTTTGCTTTCCGTGCCGCCTGTGCTTCTTCTCCTACGAGGGGGTGCAATCGACTACGGTTTTTCTTTTGCCCTCGAGAGCGGTATTTTCCAGTATCTTGTACAGTGTCTAAAATTTGTTTCTGTCCTGTGTACTTCATCAGCGAATGCTTTATATGAGTCGATATATATAATTGGACCGCAGATGTTATAACAGGATGTGCATTCTATCAGCCATGACCGCTCAATTAGCGTGTATTATTTTATGCTCAGCTGTACTGACTGCTCCTTCCGACGCACGTTGAGTATCTAGTTTCTCTCGCCTGAATACAAAGGAAGCATTTGTCGGTCTCCGTATTTTATATATGTAAGCCATTTGTGTATTTTGTCGAGCAACATTGTTCCCAAGGGGAATGGTTTCATTTTCCCTGAGATCTAGTGAACTGAAGCTGCTTTCCAATGTCTCATATTGGCCAGTCACCGCTTGTTCTCAAACGAATAAGTTTACGTCCATGAGAAGTGCAAATTTCTCCCTGGGTTTGATTTGTTCATACGTGACAGAGTTAAGTTTCTCCTGTCGACTCGGTCGCCGAATCGGTTGACTCCATCGACTCCTTGTTACCTTAATAATTAAGCCTACATAACTCATGAAGGTGTTTATATCTTTAGCCCTCCGGTCCATGTGGTTGTGTTTTCTCTCACCATTTCCAACTTTAAACAAAATGTACCGGGAAATCCGGCACTCTTTTTGCACCATTGTGGCTTATTTGCCTGCAACCTATCTGGTTCCATAACCAAAAGTAACACCGTAACAGAATGAAAGAACACATTAATGTTTTGTGGTGCTGGCCAATTCTGAAGTCTAGTCGCCCTCTTGGTAATGACGCTCGAACTACCATTTATCTGAAGTATACTTTTGACTGTTTCAACAGCTCTTTTCATTTGAGCGTGAATTCTGAAAAAGGTTGAGTTTATTCATCTAAGTTTTAAATATGATGCAACCTTTAGAGTTCGTAGGTAAAAACGAGGAAACCGTAGCTTCGTTTTTAAGATTTTTCCATCTAATTCAGGCAAATCGGCGTATTTGTCTTTCAGACATGAGGTGACCTTTTCACGTGATAATGTCCGAACTGTAGTGAATACATTCCATACGAAAACGGCGCAAGTGTATGATACGAAATCTCCGTTTCTACCGTGCGGCATACAGCCTTGAGATGTTTTGTTCAGACTCCGATCTCGTACTGCTGGACTGCTGGTACAAGACGATCGTTAGTGTCATTGTAAAAAATCATCCGAAACTTTATTCCAGATTTAGCACGTATAACTGGAAATGTAATCAAAGCCAACAGTGTGATTTCAGTGGCATCAGCAGGTCATCAGCTTTGAGGGTACAGCCAAGTGGATAGGCGTTTCCGCAGCTGACTGTAATGTCGACCGTAACGTAACCGAGCACATTTCCCTCAGGTTGAAGTAGGTGTAGGTTTTCAATCCATAGTTTGCTCTCAATGCATTCGTTCATTCAGCTGTAGCACCCTTTCGATGTCTAAATGCCATGTCACCAGAAGGAAGCACGAATGTTGGGGTGGTGCCAGGTCGCCCAATCCTAGACAGGATGGATGGGGTCGGGTTTGAACCACGGACCTTCCGGTCAGTAAATTTGCGCTCTAACCACTGAGCCATCTCAAAAATAGTGGCAGTCAATATACCGTGACGACCAACCCACTGGACCGATTTGGATGAAACCTGATCAGTGGAGGGAAGGAAATCTCCATCAAACAGGTCAGTATAATGGCTACGAGAGGAATGAATGAATTGCAGAGTTTATAAATAGGGAAACTGGGTTGAACTGAATTTTGGCTATATCCCTGTATGTCTCTTCCAGCCTGTAAACATACATGGACAAGCGCACACTGCTGTAGTTCAAATGGTAATCGGTAAAGCCCCAATTTGACAACTCAACTACACCGGTCTTGAACAACTAGATCTGTTTCAAGCATTTTATCACGGTTTAACATCGCGCTTGTACTTTCAAAGCCTGAACTCATTTACCCATAGGTTCATGAGTTAGAATAGATAGTCCAGGTATATGTTGAAAAAATTTCGCCGTCGGACAATGTACTGCCTCATTGATTGGAGTTGCGCGGCTTCTTGAGGACCGTTCTTATTCTTATGGCATTTTAACGAGAAACTCCTGGGAAATTCAAAAGCGCCCCCAATTGCAGAGTGTCCTTTTTCGGAGGTGCCCATATAAGAGGTTAATGTAACTCAGCCTGTGAACCATTTCTCACCAGTTCATGTTTCGTCCTCCTATGCATTCCTTTTTGACAGCTATTTCTCTATCAACTGCTGCGAGGTCTGGCCTACTGTCACGACCGACACATTTTACACCGAGACCTGAAACCGCAAAATCTACTGATCTCCGGTGCCGGTGAACTGAAGCTTGCCGATTTCGGCCTTGCCAGAGCCAAATCTGTACCCAGCCGTACATACAGCCACGAAGTGGTCACTTTATGGTACCGACCACCTGATGTGTTACTCGGGTCGACTACTTATACCGCTTCCTTGGATATATGGTGAGTTGTGTCAATATGTTTGAGGTGGCACTTGGTTGCATCCGGAACTGAATATCTTGCTCTGCATGCCGTCGTGTTGGATGCGGCAGACCTCTCCTCGGTTCTTGAATCCACATCATATCAGCAGGCGGTTGTGTTATCCGGTTCTCCGCTTCATTTATTAGCTTATCTTTTCTACTAGTTCTTCGTGGCTGACCTTTGAGAACAATGTGCACACATTAGGGAGTGTTCTTACTTTGCTGCTTGATGCGCAGGATGAGTAGCGCCTTGTTGTGCAATACTTTATGCATGCTTATTGACCCGCCTCTTAGATGTCTTCTCATATGAGGTTCAGATAGATTACAGGATTGGGATGTTCTTGGCTTGAATCCATCCTCGATTATGCTTGTTGGACCTTGGGTGACCTCGTGTAAACTCTGTCTTCGTGATTCCTTTGAATTTCTCGATAGCCGCACGCCGAAACTGGAAAGCTTAACTTAATTCTGATTAGACACATCATTTATAATTGAGGAGCTACCAACTGGCCCGTAACCAGCCCGCGTTTCCTGGCATAGCACTCCCTCTTCATAGAAAACCCACTAGAAGTCACTCAGACTGTTCCGTAGAAACCCACATATGTCAGATGATAGAACGGGCTTTCTAGAAAGAACAGAACTATATATATATATA